TTTTTTTTTTTTTTTTTTTTTTTAAGCTTTGTCATTTCTATTATTTTTCATGGTGAAATTTGGTGTAGGGATAGCCATTCCCTGAACTTCTTTAGTACCACTCCAAATAATCTTTCTTCTGTGAAAGAAGGCAGAGAACCATGATTGAGAATAGCCGGGCTGTGCATGAAATGACCAGGAGTGGAAAATGAAGTACATAAATCCCAACTTCATAGGAACTCTTAATACTGCTTTTCTGACTAAAATTGTTGTTTACCTGGTCTTTGAATGTTAATGCCTGGCTAATTAGGTCATTGCCTAAATCATTTTCCCCTCTTGCCCCATGAACAGTACTCCCTCTTGCATATACTGGCATGATATTATATAAAGGAAAAATATTGGAGATATTCTATATTTTATATATAGGTTTATGTATTGTTGAGGATGTTTTTATTGTGCTGATTTGGACAAAATAAAAGAATTCTCTGTTAAGGCTATGTTCTTAACCCAACTAAGATTGTTTACAAAGTTCCCTGTGTCACTGATACATTGTTTTTGTTTGAAAATATTTTTAGACTTTGACAAGTTTATTAAAAGGATTAGTGTAGTTTTTACACAATGTAAGCAATAATGTAACAGATGAGAAAAGGCTTTAAATTGATCAACTAGGACTCATAAATCTAGGGGAAAAAACTAAGTCTAAAGGAAAACTTAAAAACCTTAAATTAATATCACCTCTTTTGCTGCTAAAAAAAATGAAACTTCCTGATTTATAGTCGAAATTTATATCATACTCTGGACTGGAGTATACTTTGCATCTGGTGCCATTAAAGCATCACTGACCTTGATCCTAAATATTCATGAGTCCATGAACAATGAACTTTTGAATAACCTTTTTTCTATGTATATACCCACAGGTTAATAATTATGAAAACACCTGATTAAATTAGAAAAAGAAACTAAATAGTTTCTTATTCAAAACACAAGATCTGAATTTTGTTTGGGTGCTAGACCTTAATAATAAAATTAATTTTTTAAGTTATAGTGATTTTATTGTTTCTTTTTTTTTTAATTGGCTATTTCTGTGATTGATTTTCCTCCCACAAATGTAAAGGAAGGGAAAGTAAACTCATTGAAGATTTTTTTCAGGTAACATTCTTTTTCCAAATTCTGCTGTCAAGTTTTAACTTGTTTCCAACTGCTTATCTCAGTCTTGAACCTGTTTCCCCACCCTTTGCTCCCAAACATAGGTATATTACCTACAGGAAGATCAACATACACAGGTTATACTGGGCTTCCATCATTTATGCTTCTTTACTAACAGGATTGAATTTACTTTTTGCAACAGACTGTAATAATTACTAGTAGCAGTACTGCTGTGTCTCAGCTGGAAAAATTAGGAATTTTTATTTTTAACGTCATACATACCCTTGAAAAATGTTATGCCGGCCAATGGATAAACCTCGGAGTTAATTTTAGAATCTTTATATGGGCAAAACAAAGAATAGGTAAAATTAATGACCAGGAATCATTGTTGCCTTCAGTTCTAAGAGTTATTTTTTATAACTAAGTAAAGGAAAAAAAAAAAATAAGGGTTAAAGAAAATAAACATGTAAGAATTGTTTGGGGATTTGTATGATTGAAAGTGTTTTAGCATATCCCCTACCTATCCTGAGAACTCTGTGTTAAGAAAGCCCACAATTTTGGCAGCTCGGAAGTATTCTGTGTTCTCAGAATGTAGGATTACCACCACTGACTATTCTTTCCCAAATGGAAACTAGATTTTCATTGGTAATTACAAATTGCACAGATTTCCAGGTTTTATGAAAAACTTGAATATACTATCAAAATGTATACTTGGTTTATTGTCTGTACCCCAAATCTTAACAATACAGGTAACTAATTAATTAGTATTTAACATAAAATGATATAAACAAAGGCCTTTTTTCTCTTTCATTGAGGCTCTCCATTTTGCTTGATACACAATTTAAGGATTTTTAGCTTAAACTAAGCTGCAAGGGGTAATTGTATATAGTGTTATTTAGGTTTATTTAAAATTCATCTGAGAGAGGGATAATTGAATGGATAATTTTACCAGAATATATGGAAAACATTGCAAAGAGATGAAAGCCAGTTCCATTATCCCATCCATTAGAAATTACCAGTATAACTAAACAAAAATTCCAGTTTAGAATACTTAAGTATAGCTGTCTTTCATAAGGCCCAAGAGGGTAACTTTGTGATATTTTAAAGGGCTTAAATTTTAGGATGCAGGATAAATTGCCTTTTTAAAACCAAGAATTTTATACAAGAAAAGCATTTATTTTCCATTTTTATGCTACCAAATAGGTATGATACACTTTGGAAATGAGCAAAGATGCTTTCTATGAAACTGGGTGTTCAATCTCCTGCAGTCATTCTTCCCATTTTCAGGGGTGCATTCTAACAATGGAAACATCTAGCACGAGAATGCTTGTAATAATTCTCGAAAGAGATTAATATTGGGTTTTTTAAAGGTTTTTATAAACAGAAACAGATGGAGATTATCATCCATAAATATATTTAAATGAATTTTTCTTAATTTGAATTTCAAGTAATCTTAATTTCTATTTCACATAATTAGTTGCATATTTAATTATATTGCCAGGTTTTTTTTTTTTTTAAGTTCTTGATTTCAGTGAGACAAAGTGTACTAAAATGTTTAAATAACCTCATTCAGTTTTACGTATTAACATTTCAGCATATAAACCATTCCGGCTTAAGTAATTTGGTTCCGTGTTATGACACATGCTCTTTGGTTTCAAAAGCAAACAGAAAAACTTGCATTTTGTTAAAATAGTTTATCAAACGGAATGGACTAGTCAGCATGTCTAATGTAGTATCATTGTTACGTTCTAACTACTGAGCCAGACTTTCCTAGTGTATAAATGATTCCCCTGGGAGCCTTCGGAAGCTGTATTAACTCTTTCTTTTGTTTGCTCTCTCATTTTATTCTTGTACTCCATCTAAATAGAAGCCAGTTATCTTATTTAGTGGCTTTTAGTTTGAAGATTCTCAGATCAGTTTTAGTCTCTCAACTTTGTAGTCCGTGAAAAATACATTATTGTGTAAGGTAATGTCAATTCTGTACTTTACCACATGGAGGGAATCATTGTTATTACTTGAGGAATGAATAGTCCTAAATTGTAATATCGTAACAGAAAGGAGTTTGAGATTTGGTGAATTGATGAAGAAGAGAACAAGAAACTTTCATGTGGCACGTACTCTATTGTCACTCATCTGCAAAATGTGAAGTTATAACTCTGAAATATACATCCAAATGAGGGAGAATAGTTGTCTAGATATAATATTAACTGGGGGGTGTGGGCGGGTGCTAGTAAAGTTTGTGTTTGGAAGCGACCCAAAGTTGTTAAAAGGTAATAAATGTGATTTTCACTATAAGTTATTGACATAAGATACTTTATTTATAATATATTCAGATTTTAAAAGTAACAGAAGAATGTATTAGAAACTAGATTTTGTTTTCTGAAGCAGTGGAACAAAATTAAGGAGAGTTCTATTATAGTATATACACATCTATGAGGAATGTTTATAGCTAAGCATACTCCTTTAGCTTTAAGCTAAAATGGTCAAAATTTAAATTTATTTTTTATTTTGCTTATGCCCACTTTTATCTTTTAGTGTCATTTTGCTTGACAGAATGTGGTGATATAGGGTATTTTTTATCTAGGAAGTCCTCAGCAAGATGAGCTTGCCAAAAGCAATAATGGTTCAGATTAAACAGTAAAGTGGAATTGAACCAATTTCCAGGTTCAACTAAGGAACAGACACTCTGTGGATATTTCGTTTTTAGATTATAAATATGTTGAAATTTATTAATGGGAGGAAGTAAGCTTATATCATTATGGGATGTAGACTCTTAGTGACATCACAGTTGTACTTTTTTTTTTTTTTTTTTTTTTTTTTTTTTTTTTTTTTACTTCATACTAAACTAATACAGTTAGATATTTCCACTACATTGTAGTGATTCTATTTTTGTGATGGGAAAAAACAATTCTGTGTCTTTACAAATAGTCTCTGCAGAAATGTCAGGCAATGTTATTGGAGTCTCAGTTTGGCAGTATCCAAAATACAGAATCACCTCAAAGTGCTTGTGCTACTTGAAGAGAGCCTCCTCTGTGCAGGGCCCGGGCAAGCTACAGCTAATACCAGGGTACCTGTGCACATAATAGTTTACAAAGAATTTAAAAGTGGAGACCATTGATTGAAAACAATTTTTTTTTAAAAAATTGTTTTAACTTTAAAATTTTTAATTTCAGTTTGAAGTGCCTGGTTTATAAAATCTAATTCTTTGATTATTGCCTTTCTCTTTAAATTGACTAAGTTTGCTGATTAAACTTAAAGCCTTGGGCTCAATTGTGATGATTTATTGATAAAATTGCTGCTTGATGGTTTGAGGGGCTAGTGTCATGAC